CTGAGTCCACAGCTAGTTCAAACTGCTACAGCCAGTTTTTCTGAGTCTACAGCTAGTTCAAACTGCTACAGCCAGTTTTTCTGAGTCTACAGCTAGTTCAAACTGCTACAGCCAGTTTTTCTGAGTCTCAAGCTAGTTCAAACTGCTACAGCCAGTTTTTCTGAGTCTACAGCTAGTTCAAACTGCTACAGCCAGTTTTTCTGTATATAAATCTTGGTTGGAGAGTGTTGTTTCCAGCTTCTCATTGTTAAAAATTATTCGAGTTGAAAGTTTTACAAGCGTGTACAAGATGAACTCTGACTGCAAGGCTGAATCAGTCAGCTTTTGTGGATGGGCAATCAATCATACAGTAGAGGTGAATTATTTGATATATCAATTATTTTGTTGTGCTTGAGGTGACCACTAAATTTTTTTTTTTGGTTCAACTAACATTGCATCCAATTAATCAGGATTTCTTTCATTTGTGCTCAAGTTAGTCTGAAATTCTGTCTGACTGTGCTACTCATTTTGTCAAACAAGCCTCCCATTCAGCTGAAAATATGTTGAAACTTTATTTGTTCTCAGTTTAGCTGGTGGTATACTTTACATCAATAGTACATGTTTCTTTCAGAAATGCCAACCTGCATTACCAGTTTTACCTACATGAAATTATAGCTATTGCCTGAACTAAATGAAGTATTTACTTAAATTAATTAACTAATTTATCAACCCTTAGTATATGCACACTACGTCATCCAAATGACATTGCACACTATAAAGTATGTGTCATCATATGTACAACACACATGCACCATCACAATGTGTACACACACCATAAGTGAAGAGAATGTACACCACACACACATATACACCATTATTTGCACATACAGTAATATTATGGTGCACACCCACACTGATGATATATGTACAGGATATCAATACAAGTGATTGAATGATGCATAAGATCATGTCACCTTGTATAAAGAAAGTGCATGAACAAGTGGAAAAAGTATTTTAAAAAATTGAAAGTTTAGGAATGAGTGCACCAAAAAGTGAGGAAACAAGGTAGGAATGGGCACTTGGAAATACAAGTAATGCAATATTTCTCTATACAAGAGACTTTGATCACCCTGGGAACTGGAAATCAGCTAAAGTATTATATATCAAACATTACATAAAATGAAGAATTAGTAAAAGTTGTATTATTAATGATGTAAAGAATTTTAACAACACTGAAGGTCACTTCTAACTGAACTGTTTTCTAAGCACGTGTGTCTTCAAGGGAATTACACAATTAAGTACCACCTAAACTTTGTGAGATTATTCTCAGACAACTGTGTAGGACTGAGGAGAGCACAAGAAAGTGTTAAACTAGTTTCTTGATTTTTGTGCTTATATTTTTGGTCCAAAAGTGAGGTTTATTTTATACTTTTGAGATTGAGTTATTTCAGACTCTCAAGTGATAGTGTTCTGTTTACAATTCCTATTAATTTAATACTATATTTTAGTTAGTTGGAATATATCTAATGGAAGTGAATGTCTTTATGACTGGTTTTCAGAAACAGAAGCAGACTATGATATTCTAACATATAGTCATCCTCATATTGTGAAACCAAAGATTAAACCATTTGAGGACTATTATGACATTGGAGATGAGCTTGGCAGGTAACTGTGTTCTTTCGGTTCTCTTGCTTGCTTTCTGTAATGAGCATTCTCGGTTGCTTTGGAAACTAATTTTTGTGTGATATATGAATGTGAAGGATTTATATACAATTTAAGTTTTTTGTAATAAGTATACACTATTTACAGGTTTGTTTTGGAGATATAAGACATTCTAAATATTAATTGATTCCTTTATTTAAACATGTAATAAGTATACACTATTTACAGGTTTGTTTTGGAGATATAAGACATTCTAAATATTAATTGATTCCTTTATTTAAACATATATATATATATTTTAAAATCTGAAAGAATGAACATTTTGGATGTTAGTTAAAGACTAAGAAAGATATTTATTTGTTAGTCAACAATATTTAACAACTTAAATCATATTTTAAGATCAAGCTTCTACTCTGGAAAATAAGAAGTAGCAGGTTAAATAGTGTCATAATAGAAAAGAATAATTTATCTGTATATTTTTAATGTGAAATTAATAAAATTACAGTGTTAAGGGATGGCAAATATATTCATACAAATAATTTTGAATATAAAATGAATAAACAAAACACAAACGTAATAACAGGAAGCATTTATTAGACATTTCGGAATCGTCATAATTCCATCATCAGTAATCTAGAGTTACAAAACAAACAAACAAACAAATCGAATATACAAATATAACATGAGGAAATGAAAACTGAGGCACAAGTGAAATAGTTAAAATAGGTTTAAATCCAGTGATAACTGTGTTATTTAGGGACAGGAGATGAGTTTTTATGTATAATGTTTCTTTTATAAGAAGTTCAAGACCTGAATCGTCATAATTCCATCATCAGTAATCTAGAGTTACAAAACAAACAAACAAACAAATCGAATATACAAATATAACATGAGGAAATGAAAACTGAGGCACAAGTGAAATAGTTAAAATAGGTTTAAATCCAGTGATAACTGTGGTATTTAGGGACGGGAGATGAGTTTTTATGTATAATGTTTCTTTTATAAGAAGTTCAGTATTATGTTTAGCTGTTGAAAGAATTTTAAAGTTTGAGAGAGAAATCAGATGACCTGTTTCTGTATTGTGTTGATAGATAGAGGAGTTGGGAGGATTCTTAACTAACTTGTTTGTCAAACCACCTAAGATACCCATTGTATCTAAACTTCCCTTATACACCTGTTTACCATATCTTGGGAGACAGAGCTCCCTTATCATGAAACAGTTGAAAAAGTTATGTAACACTTACAATCCCCAAATTGACCTGAAAGTCATTATGAAACCAAACTTTAGACTAAAAAATGTTTACCACTACAAAGATCGTTTCCCGACTGCCCATTGTTCACATCTTGTCTACTTATACATGTGCGGAGACTGTAAGGCCTCCTATATTGGTGAAACCAAACTTTAGACTAAAAAATGTTTACCGTTACAAAGATCGTTTCCCGACTGCTCATTGTTCACATCTTGCCTACTTATACATGTGCGGAGACTGTAAGGCCTCCTATATTGGTGAAACCAAACTTTAGACTAAAAAATGTTTACCGCTACAAAGATCGTTTCCCGACTGCCCATTGCTCACATCTTGTCTACTTATACATGTGCAGAGACTTACTGTAAGGCCTCCTATATTGGTGAAACCAAATGTCACCTTAAAGTACAAGCATGTGAACACATGGGCATATCTATAAAAACTGGAAGAAAGATTACAAACCCTCCCAACTCTGCTATCTATCAACACAATACAGAAACAGGACATCCAATTTCTCTCTCAAACCTTAAAATTCTTTCAACAGCAAAATATGATACTGAACTTCATATAAAAGAAAAATTATACATAAAAACTCTTCTCCCATCCCTAAATAACACACAGTCTTCATTGGATTTAAGCCTATTTTAACTATTTCACTTGTGCCTCAGTTTTCCTTTTCTGGTGCTATATTTGTATATTCAAATTGTTTATTTCTTATGTATATATTTCTGTTGTAATTACAAATATTGTTTGTTTGTTTTGTACCTCTAGATTACTGATGATGGAATTATGACGATTCCGAAATGTCTAATAAATGCTTCCTGTTATTACGTTCATGTTTTGTTTTATTATTAAGCTATGTTTTTCAAAAAATGAGTCGATTACTAAAATGTATCAAATGCTTATTGGCTATAGAAAATTCTCCATTTAATTTGATAAATAAATGAACTTAATATTTTTCTTTATTCTGAAGAGGTACACAAGGTATTGTGTACCATTCAGTAGAACGGGTTTCAGGGAAGAGCTACGCTGCCAAAATGATGCACGGTAAAGGGAAACTACGAGACTTTATGGACACTGAACTTGACATAATGAATCAGTTATGTCATCCAAGATTGGTGCGGTTATTTGATGCTTTTGAAACCAAATCCTCACTTACTCTTGTTACTGATCTGTATCCTTTTATGGTAGTTATAGTACTTGTCATGCATTTAGACTCAACACAATATTACCTTTTGTGTGAAAATTACATGAACCTTGTATATATATATATGTGTGTGTATGTGTAAGGTTAGTTGTATACAAGTAACATAACATGTCTGAAATGCAGGAGCTGTATAATTCACTATAGATGTGAAAAAGTTTCATATCTTAAAGATAAAACAGAAATTGTATGAACATTTCTACAGGTTGATGAGGGTTTCATTAAGTATCAGCAAAAATCAGGGCTTAGATATTCCATTTCAGCAAGGGCCAAAGGATGTTTCATTAACATATTCTCAGTAGTGTCCAATATGTAATACGAGATGAAAACTTTCTTCTTTAAAGAGATTATCCTGATTCTCTCATCCACTGAAGCTAGTTCATATATCGTGGAACAAACCCTCTACCCTACCAAAAAAAGAACACACCAGTCATATTCTACTTGTGCTAATATATCATCAGATGAATATCAAAGATATTATATGAAACATTTGTACAATACTTACTGAAAACCCAACCACTAAATCTATTTTCAAGAACTCATCCATTATTTCTTACAGATATGACAAAATCCTGAAAGAAATCCTGGTACACAGTAACTTAAAAACAACATGATACATCAGGCATCTAGTCATGTAAATTAAACATATGTGTCACATGCTCACATGTAAACAGCATAACACACTTACACAGATAGAATATGAATTTCAACTTAAAACTATCCTATACATGTGCCACTTAACTGTTTCAGCACAGATTCGGTACTAAAACTTCAATTATAATCTACAGTTTGATACCAAACTTATTGACATAAATTCATGAAACAGTAGTTCAATAAAATTTTGATTGCGAGTCAACAAACAAGATGACATGGCCTTTCACCCATGACCCGTCTCGATTGGGTTAATGTTTCACTTATTGTATAATTTGTAAGAAGTGTGGTAGTTTATACATTGCACAAACATGTGCTACCTAATGTGAACATCTAACCCACATTAATTTGCAGAACCAAGTTACATCTGTAAGCAAACATTTCACCAGCAATTAGAATACAGTTGAGGACTTTTTTGATTCTCATGTTCCAATAGGCATCCATAAAAGGATGTAAAGGAAATTAATCCTATTTGTTCACCTGCCACAACCTTTAACAGAGTGCCATTTCACATTGCCATTATGTAAGTTCACCTGCCACAACCTTTTACAGAGTGCCATTTCACATTGCCATTATGTAAGTTCACCTGCCACAACCTTTTACAGAGTGCCATTTCACATTGCCATTATGTAAGTTCACCTGCCACAACCTTTTACAGAGTGCCATTTCACATTGCCATTATGTAAGTTCACCTGCCACAACCGTTTACAGAGTGCCATTTCACATTGCCATTATGTAAGTTCACCTGCCACAACCGTTTACAGAGTGCCATTTCACATTGCCATTATGTAAGTTCACCTGCCACAACCTTTTACAGAGTGCCATTATGTATTTGATCTCAGAGTTATCAACTATTTATTTGATCCTACATTAGTGGCAATTCATGGTAGAAAAGAGTAAATACCAAATCCAATTTACAAGGATAGTGAAAAAACTGTACATACACATTTCAGGGATCCTAGAGGTTCTGCAAATGCAATATGCAATGGACTAAAGTATTTTTATTCTACAAATTAACATAACCTTGTACTCTGACTTCTTAGTCTCTTGATTCAGATGGACATCGTCAATTGGCAGGCATGTCTTGAGTACAAATACTTTCGTAACAAATCTGCTGTTTTGTATACAGTGTAAACTTTACTAAAAACCCACTATATTGCATTTAGATACATTTAGTAAATTCAGAATTATAGTCAATATTCCTTCTCCAATATATGGGGTCCATCCATTGGACCAACCCTGTGCACATTTGGTTAATCTGAGAACCTTACAACCAATCTAATTTAAATTAACCTTTTTCTTTCTTTCAGAATTTAACTTAAAGTAAATTTTTGTTCCCTTATATTTCTCCTTATCTTTCAATCCCCAGTGGCTCATTGATAAGTCTGGAGGCTTATAACACTAAAAACTGGGTTACTATACCTGTGGTTGGAACAGCACGGATAGCCCATTGTGTGGCTTTGTGCTTAACTATGAAAAAAACATTTATTCCTTTTATCTTTTATGACTTGACTAGTATTTATGTAAAAGATGTAATTTTTCAAAGAAATTTCTAACCCAGTTTTCAAAATATAGGACATACTATTTTCAAATTCTGGGTTTGTTTTATGATATGAAAACAGTACCGACTTGAAACATTATCTTCCAGAAGTGAAAATATATATATAACTTGATGATTTTGTAATTTATTCCTTAATTTCTGTAAATGTTCTTGAGCTATATATGGATATGAAATATCTGATAGGTGACTTCATTGTATATATTAAACCAACCATGCACATAAACTATTATTCTCATATAAATGATGCTTTATTTTACCTAATGAATTGTAAAAAAATAATGTGCCATAATATTACCACAACATATCCATATATTTAAATAATTTGAGAGTATAAATAGAAATGTCACCCTCAAGTGATGCCACAGCTGTTCCTGCCACTGCCAGAAAATCAGAACAAGCAAAGTACAAAAGTTGGCAAAAAAATGTAAAGTAGGTATAACAAAATACATTTTCCTAAGAATGTATTTACATAACAAGAAAGAAAAATATGTCATTTAGCAGATATTTCTCAAATAATGTGAGGGGGTTCATTTTTCTATTACCTACAATACCATATTGTTTCAATACATTTATAGAGAAAAGTTTTAGCTGTGACAGAAACCAAAATACTAGTTACATTTTTATATTCCGTTAACTCTGTCAACATGGGCTCAGTCAAATTGACTGACCATGTGAGCACGTTGTACTTGTTTAAAGTCATTATAGTTTTGATCTTACTAACTTTTATTATAGTATGTGTATCTTCACAAAACTTGGCAGACTTTAAGTAAACATTACAAGTCTTTCACATACAAAAAAATAAATTAAAAAAGATTTATCCGTGAATATATCGAGTCTTTTTTTGACTAGTCTGAGTGCTAAGAAATTTTCATGTTAAAATAAAAAATACTTTTCTTCATCTCAAAAATCTCAAATTTCATTTGCATAATCTGTAAAACCTCCTAAATACATTTCAAATGTTTGTTTCCAATAAAACTTTATATTTTATCTGTTATCTTTTCTACCCTAACTTTACACAAGGTTGGTCAGTGTTATTTTCATAACCTCTAGGACCTGCTAAATACATAATAAAAGTCTTTTCATTAAAACTTTTTTTTTTCTGTTGTTTTCTCTATCCTAGCCCCCAAGTGGCACAGTGGTTTGTCTACGGACTTACAACGCTAGAAACCGGATTTTGATACCCGTGGTTGGCAGAGCATAGATAGCCCATTGTGTAGCTTTGTGTTTAACTACAATGGCAGAGCATAGATAGCCCATTGTGTAGCTTTGTGTTTAACTACAATGGCAGAGCATAGATAGCCCATTGTGTAGCTTTGTGTTTAACTACAATGGCAGAGCATAGATAGCCCATTGTGTAGCTTTGTGTTTAACTACAATGGCAGAGCATAGATAGCCCATTGTGTAGCTTTGTGTTTAACTACAAACAAACAATTCTTTACCCTAACACTATTTAGGTATTCAGTCCAGTTTACCAAAAAAAAAGTGAAATAAATCTAGATTACCCTTTCTAAAATAACTGCATATTGTTACAGACACTATTAATCTTACAGCTAAAGCTAATATGATTCAGATCTTTCAGATTTATAGCTTTAATGCCACTTAGATTAGCACCAAAGCAAATTATCACAGTGGGAAAGGCTTGCATAAACACAGCATTAAGTTACCAGCATGCTCATTCAAATTGCAACATGCTGTACCTGTGAGATATGCTCATGCTATCAAGTATTTTATTCTATATAAATTTTTTGCATTTAATCTTTCTTATCTAACAAATTTGTTTCTAATTTTTACATTTTAGTTACTTTTATAACAAGAAAAAGTAAATAAGAAATTTAGTACTTACATATGGGTCTTGTACTTTTTTGCTCTTGAGGTCTCAATGAAATTTAACCCTATTTTTTGTATAATTTTTATTTATTTTAAATATGCAATTTAGAACATAAAATGTTACCATGTAACAAAAAAATATGTTCTAAAACTATTATAACTTAATTGACTTTCTGACTAAGCTATATGTGCATTAATATTATTTCCTTACTTAGTCAGGCAACAATGAACTGATGTTGATGCAGAGTAACTAAAAACCAATTTTGAGAAAAAGCTAGCCTCATGAAAGTCTTCTCTTTCTATTGGTTATAAATAATACAATAGCAAATGTCAGAGAACGTTATTCATATTTTTTAAAGACATTATGTGCTAGGAGGGGTGTGTTCAGGAGAATAAATTCTATAAATTTTCATTTTAGTGTTATATATATCTGATGTATAACTGAGTAAGTCCCTGGAAACTTAGAAAATAATATCGAAATGATCGAAGGAAATTCTAAAATGGGCAGTTGGGAAAAATAAATGTTGTAGGACACTGTTGATACATAAAAATGAAGATTGAAGATTTATTTAACTATTTTCTTTTGAAATTAAAACTTCAAAAGTATTAAAAATTTGAAATATACACTATGTTTTTGTACCAAGTTTTTGACATACATTGATAATAAAGTAGTTTAATTAAATTTAAATTTAGCTCTGTAAAAAAGGGTCATTACATGTCAACTTTGATCTACACATACACATAGGGTTAAACATAAGAATGTTGTTGATGTTGATCATATTTGAAATATGTGTAATAGTTGAATAAGATACTGTCAAAGATTTATTTCAATTTCATACATGTTTTATTGAAAATTAAAAGTCACACAACAACTAACTTAAGATATAAATAATGTATTTTCTAACAATTTTAGATAGAAAGGCTAATACTG